CAGCCGGGGGCAGGGAGGCGGAGGGGGAGAGATGCCTCGGCTTCCACTTCCTGCGCAGCTCCAGGTGGGGAGGGAGGCCGAGAGCCAGTGTGTGGGCCCCAGGCAGCGGCTTGGCTCAGCGACAGGCAAACGCAACCCGAGAAGGGGCCCACAAGGTTGGTGACTCAGCCCTGCTGCTCCCCTCAGTTCAGCTTGCAGCCCCGGAGGCTCCCTGCCTGCTGCTGCTCTGGGCTCACCAGCAACCCCCCGGCCTCTCCGGCTGGCCCTGCTGCACAGACCCTGACACAGCCCCCGCCACCACCATGCCCTGGATCTTTGCTCCTTGGAAAAGGTTCAGAGGAGGGCAGCCAAAATGCTGAGGGGTTTGGAACGGGTCCCCTATGAAGAGAGATTAGAGAGACTGGGACTTCTCGGCATAGAAAAGAGGAGACGAAGGGGGATAGGACAGAGGTCTATAAAATCATGGCTGGTGTGGAAAAAGGGAATAAAGAAAAGTTATTTATTTATTCCCATCACACAAGAACTAGGGGTCAGCAAATGAAATGAACAGGCAGCCAGTTTAAAACAAACAAGGAAGGTTTTTTTCACTCGGGGCACAATCAACCTGTGGAACTCCTCGCCGGAGGATGTGGTGAAGGCTAAGACTTTCACAGGGTTCAAAAAAAGAGCTAGATAGATTCATGGAGGTTAGGTCCATCAATGGCTAGTAACCAATGGTGCCCCTTGCCTTGGTTTCTCCGGAGGTGGGTGACAAGGGAGGGATCACGTGAGGATTACCTGTTGTGTCCCCACCCTCTGGGGCACCTGGCATTGGCCACTGTGGGCAGACAGGACACTGGGCTGGCTGCTCTTATGTTCTCCCTCCCTAGCTAGTTCCCCGCTGGTGCCTCTCTACTGCCTGCAAGGGGGAGGACCAAGAAACCCCTTGGACCCCAGCGTCCCGCACCGAGCAGCTCCCACCGGCCCCTTTCACCAGATCCATCAGCCGCTCTCGCCAGGACGGGCCCTGCTGGTGACTTCCCCAGCCCACGAGGGGCAACGTGGCAGGCACGTCTCCCGCTCCTCGGGGAGTAATCCCGCTGTTCCCACAAGCAGTTTCTGCCCGGAGCCCTCGATCTTCCTGGGTCTGTCCTATCTGCGACAGCAGGCTGACCCTGGGGGTGCCGCAGGCAGGGAGCGCAGCTCCACCGTGCATCTGCACTGGCCCCACTCGGGGGTGTTGGGTTTTCTGTCCCTCCAGCCGGGGCGGGGGGAGTTCTGCTGGCCCAGCCTCCTGCACACGGGAAGCTCAGTAACCCCTCACCCCTCTCCGCCCTGAGCCGGGGCTTCAGAATAGGAGAGAACCAGAAGGGACCTTGAGATGCCGAGTCTGGTCCAGACCAAGCACCCTCTGGACCATCCCTGACAGGCGTCTGTCCAAACCTTGATCGGCCCAACCAGCTACAGGGAACCAGGTGGGACTCTGCCCCCGCCAGCTTCTGCCAAGGGGAGCGGGCCCAGGGAGTTAGCTGCCAGAACCCTCCGGAAGGCCTGGGCACCCTTGCGAGTGTGTGGCTGGGGAGAAACCATTTTGACTTGGAAAAGGGCTGGGATCTTTCGCAGCCCCCTGCACTGCCGGCCCGTTCCAAAAGTTAACCCCTGTGAGGCAGTGGGGAGTTCTGGGGCTCAAAGGGGGCGTTACATACGGGGGCGCTCAGTGCCCAGCAGTGACTGGTTTGAGGTGACGAAGGGGGGAGTTTGTGGTTGCAGAGAACAGCCCAGAGGTGGAGCAGGTGTCCGGTACCCTGGTGCCCTCGGCCCTGCTCAGAGGACACGGCTGGTTCTGGCCAGATGACAGACAAGGGGCGGCAGAAGGGGGAGTGACCGGCCCAGCCGGCCCCCGGGGGGGGGGGGCATTT